GCCCAGAAATAAAACCAATTCTATGTACAGTATTGTAAACCTAGTCATTGATTAAAAGTGCTAGAGGTAAACACAGGATAAGGAGTAAGCATGGTTATCCACGGCTGTCTGGACCTGCATGCCAGCCTCTGGGTAAGGAATTCTCAGTTTGCATATGGTTTGACAATTGCTCTGCCATTAGTCACCCTGAATATCAAGGTGGAGCATGGATTAGAGGCTGCCAACTAATTATCTAGCTTTTGGGAAAGCTAACTAAGAAGTCATTCTATCTTCTATGACCATTAAGAGGACGTTTTAAAACATAAATGTAAACTTAACATAAACGTAAACATTTTAAAACATAAATGTATTCATCTTAAAGACTGCAGTAGGTAAATTTGTTATTTTGCTTAGTCTCTTCTTTGGTCATCCTCTTCTGAAAAACAAGTATATTAATTTCAGTGTACTCAAAGATGTTAGCACTTGTATACATACTGAGCTATTTACTCTGTCTCTTTAAAGAATTTAAATTAAGATATTAAAAAATATAGTTGGGTATGGTGGCTCACGCCTGTAATCCCAGCACTGTGGGAGGCTGAGGCAGGACTGATCGAGCCCAGGAGATCAAGACCAGGCTGGGCAACATGGCTAGACCCTGTCTCTCTATTAAAAAAAAAAAAAAAAAAATTAGCTAGATACATGTCTCATGAGATAACACTTGCACTAGAAGGTTAGAGTTTAGCTGGAGCAGCTATGTTTGGTCATGTGAGAAAAGAAGAAACCTACTGGTAACAGATGGAGAGAAGTAGAGTTGAGTAGGTCAACCCTAACCTTAGGTACCGACTTTCCAGTTCCAATTCTAGTGTCCATATGGCCTGGTATGTTACATTTTCTGTTCTTCAAGACCAATTTTATTTACATATATGTGTGTATGTATGTGTAGGTACATGTGTGTATATGTATTTTTTTAAAAATAGTCTTTTGGGTTTGTGTGCATGTTATGTAAAAAGCCATATATAATGGATTAAATTTACACCTATATCTTTAAGCAGTGGTACAAGCCCACAAGCCCAATGTCATCCCATACGCTGGCCAAAGCTGCACACCTCGTACACCTCTAATAAATTCCACTACTTAAGCTAGCTTGAATAGCTGTGTACTCTTGACAAACCAAAGTATTATTTGATCAAAAAAAAAAAAAAAAAAAAAAAAAAGAACACATTCAGACTTCCTAAAATCACAAAAGTAGGTATCCTTTTAAAAGAATTATCACTGAAGTAATACTTTTGTTTTTACATTTACCTATGTCAAAACTCACTTATATGGAATGGAAATTCAGTTCAACTCAAGAATAAAATACTGGCTGGGCACGGTGGCTCATACCTGTAATTCCATCACCTTGGGAAGCTGAGGCGGGAGGATTGCTTGAGACCAGGAGTTTACAACCTGCCTGGGCAACATAGTGAGATCACATATCTACAAAAAAAATTTTTTTTAATTATCTAGGTGAGGTGGTATGTACCTGTGGTCCCAGCTACTTGAGAGGGTGAGGTGGGAGGATCACTTGAGCTTAGAGGGTCAAGGCTATAGTGAGCTGTGACTATGTGCCAATGCAGTCTACCCTGAGAGACAGAGTGAGACCCTGCTGTCTCAAAAAAAAAAAAAAATCCCACAAAAAACACTGAAAGCCTGAAGCCTGTGTCCTAATAGACCCAAGATTTCATCCTAGGGTTTGCCATTGATAGTTTATATAATCTTTTTTTGAAATAGGGTCTCACTGTGTCACCCAAGCTGGAGTGCATGGACACAATCAATGCTCACTGTAGCCTTGACCTTCCAGACTCAGGTGATACACCTCAACCTCTCAAGTAGCTGGGACCACAGGCATGTGCCACCATGCCCAGCTAATCTTTGTTATTTTTTTTTGTAGAGAAGGAGTTTTGCCATGTTGCCCAGGCTAGTCTAGAATTCTTGGGCTCAAGTGCTTCTCCCTCCTTAACCTCCCAAAGTGCCGGGATTACAGGTGTGAACCACCATGTGCAGCCTAATCTTGAGGCCTGGGGCTGGGGCTGTAGGTATGTATGTACCTACACAAACATACACATATACATATATATATATATATACACACACACACACGTGTGTGTGTGTGTATATATATATATATATATATATATATATAAAATCCCTGGCTTCAGTTATTGACCTTTTAGTTTACCAGGCAGCCTATGTGACCACTGGCCTGCCAAAAGGGTTTAAGTACTGAAAGCAAAATAAGCAATAAACTTCTGACCTTCAGAGGAAATATAAAAAGAATTATTTAAACATAAAAATGAATGATTTCATTATTTAAACATAATGAATGAATTATTCAGTTAATTATTCATTATTTAAACATAATGAATGAATGAATTACTTAAACAAGAATTAAATGCCTCCTTGGATTCTTAATGGCAAAGGAAGAAAATCTTAAGCCTAATAAGACATGCCCCTTCATCTGAAAAGATCTAAGAAAGCTCAACCCAAAGTTAGGTATAATCTCATAAAAAAGCCTCTGAGTGTCGATACATGGCGAGAGAGATGGGAGATTCTTAAGGAAATGAAATTCTGATTACATAATCACAAACAGTCCCAAAGAGATGAGAAAACAGTTAAAGAAACCAACTCAATTTTTCTGGGAACCTCAGATTTAACTATACATACAAAAGAAGACAACTAATTATGAATACAAAACATTGGTATGAACCTGTAAGAAAAGCATCACAAAAGCTTAAGCCTAGTAAGAACTGAGGTTTCCAAAAATGCTAGTAAAACAACAATAACAACAAAAACTAAAGCTATGCTTAGAACAAGAAAATAATCTGTTAGGAGAAAGATAAGGTTAACTGATAACAAAGAGACGAAAGAGTTCCTCAAAAACAATTCTGCCTTTGTCTTTTCCATCTGTAAGTATGGCTCTCAGGAGAGAAACTGAAGTCTGTGACAGTTAAAGAGGGTACTAGAACTCAAGTTTATTTAAGCATACAGAAGACTCTACAAATTAAATCTCAAGGTCTTGAAAAAAAAACTTCAAATACAAAAAAATTAAAAATTAAACAATGCTGCCCTGATTTTTTTTTTCTTTGACCACTTATCCTCAAGTTCTAGCTGCCCTGATTTTCAAAAAGGGAAGGAGGACAGGCTATATAGAAAATACAGAAATGTTAGCTTAACATTGGTCTCTTAAAAATTTCTAGAAGAAGGCATCAAGTGTGTGACTTCTAAATATTTGGAATTTAAAAAGCCAACACTAGGTGCTGAGTTAACAAGTACGTGAGAAAAATTCAAATTAACTGAATTTTCTTTTTTGACAACATTTTCAATAAGTCTGAATAATGTCTGGCAATGGCAAAGAAACCTATGGCAGTGAACCTTGCTTTTTACATGACCACCTTGTAGTGAGAAGTGTAGGCGAGACAACAGTAGAAGTAAATTCACAGTTGCTTCAAGAGTTCTTTCTGAAGTGTAATAAAAACAGTGTCTAGTAGTGAGATAGTCACAAGGTTTTTATCTTTGGTCATGTCCCAGTCAATATTGTTTTCAGTGACCATAACGAAGATTAGGAAGCTTATTTATTTATATAAGATAAGCTAAAAGGGACAAAAAAATTCAAAAATTCAATAAGATTCTGCTAAGTTGGTAGAATGAACTTAAACCAAAAAAGGATACTTCACAGGAATAACCACTCCTGCATTTAAGTTTAAAATATAATGTCTAAATATATAGATAACTGTTTGTGGAGACAGCTTGTTTGGTGGTAATTTATATGAAAAAGAATTTTATATTTTAGCGATTTAGACTGAGTGAATTTGTTCTTAAGAACTTATAAAATTTCATACTGTATATTTGAAGGTCAGAATTTCTAGAAAAAAATTGTTTTGTGAGCTACTGAAATGGCCAATTAATGAGCTAAAGTGTGAACTTAGCTTTCTCTGAGAGCATTTTAATGTAATTTTATGGGTCTTTTGAGACCCACTCAAACTGCAATAACATCTCTAATATTTGTAAATCCAAATCATATAAAACAGTTGTCTATCTACAACTCTCACAGACACAAAAATCAAAAAAAGAATTCAATATTGAGATTTTTTGGGGGGTCAATTTAATATTGATCTGAAAGAACAAATGAAATTAGGGTAACAAAATTAAAGAACTTTCTTTCTAAAGATATCTTTTTTTGTTTTTTGAAAGAAACCATGTTCTCTGATCTAGAGAACTTTCAGAAACTTCCCTTCCTTGAAGGCTTAGGCACAGACATTACCTACTAAAAATAAAGGCTACGTGTCAGAGTATCAGATTCACTCTTCTGCAATTCTCCTTTATGCCATGGAATCTTTACTGAAAGTAATGATAAAATGAGAAACAGAAGGTCAGAAAAATTTAATCTATTCTCATAAACTTTTTGACACTATTTGAGAGCTGTCAAGCATTTGAAAACTCAACTGATACTGAAATACTCTGACACTTTTAAATTCTCCAAATAATCTAAGCCCTAAAAACAAAAAACACACCACTTGGTAGATTTCAGTGTATTAATAAAATATACAAAGACACCTTAAGCTAAACTTTATAAAAAGACTTGATTAGCTAGGAATATTATATAACATATTAAGAGACTCATGAAATTCTATCCTACCATAAAATATTAAAATTTACAACTTTTAAAGCTTTAATGGGAAAAAAAATCTTATTTTGTCTATCTATTCTAATGCCAAATTATTTATAAAGAAGGAATCTCTAGGAGCAAAAGCATTAATAACATAAATAATTAATATACATACAGAAATGTACAGTCTTCGGGAAAGGAGTTTTCATATGATGTGGAGGGAAATGCATTGGATCTGTTTTCCTGTTCATTCTGAATCACAGGCATATGATCTACACAAAAAAATACAAATGTGAGCAATAAATATACCAAGTTAAAAACTATTTGCTGTAAGTACCAAGGAATATGTTAATTGCCCATATGGAGCCCTAAAATTTGCAAACATATTAAAGTTTCAAGACTGAGACAAAATATTAGGTGTCAATATTTTCAAAAATATTAATATAATATGATAAAACACGGAGGACAGAAAATGTTTCTACCGTAGAGACTCTAGTTTGGCCCGAACTTGATTTGAAGTTTAACCAATCTTAAAGGTGGACACTGAGCATCCCTACTTCTGCATGCAAAAATCACATTAATTCTTAAAGGCTCTATAAAAGTGATTTAACAAATCACTAATTTTTTTTTTATTATCTGTAGAGATGAGGTCTCATTATGCTGCCCAGGTTGGTTTCAAATTCCTGGCCTCAACTGATCCTCCCCACTTGGCCTCTTAAAGTACTTAGATTACAGGCCTGAGCCTGTAATCCAGCCCACATTAAACTTTCTTGCCAAAAGGTTTTTAATTCTTAAATTTGCCAACAATGTCAATTACATAACTCTCTCCAACTGTTTTCTTAAAAACACTTCACCACTAGCAAATATACTTTTATCTTGATATATTTGTTACATTTCAGATGGACAAACTATATGAAAATATGAAATTATATTCAGTATATCTATTGATAAAATTATTACCTTATTAAAAGACCCCAAGCAAAAACCAACTTACTTTTTGTGGAAAAAAAGTTTCTTCAGAAAGAAAAAAAATGTTTAGAATTAGTTACTTGTTACCACTTTTCTTGGTAACAAGGCTCTCTCCTGCAAAACTAAATGTAATCCCTTAAGGATTGTCTAGATGACATATAGTAGCATAAAGATTATTTTGAACTGACAACATCTGAGAATGAACAAATACAGGAAGAGGCATTCTTTGGAGTTCCCTTATCTGTCTAAAAATAGACCCTCAGGAAAAAGAACTCAATTGTCATAAATCCCCCCCTCAGAAGTTTCATCAACTGGGAATGATTTCGTCTTATCAGGGAGAGCAGATGAAGCCAGTACTATACTCAGACAGACACTGTTAAAAACTTCCTACTTATTCTCCTAGGACCCATTTATCTTTGAAGTCATTTGTTGTAGGAAATAAGAATAAATAAAAGGTTCCTCTTCAAAGCTTTCCTCTTAGTTCATTATGAATAAATAATAGTTTCTTCAAAGATTAATTTATGTTAAAGCTTTTGCTTTAAAGTAGCTGTTAGTCATAATGAAGAAAATATGTGTATCCAGTGTTCTTAGTTCACATACTTTAGCCAAGATATTTGCCCTGACATGCCTGGAAGTCTTAGGTCATAGTTTATTTCCCTCCCTTATTTGGAAATGTTATTGCTTCTCTAAGCATTCCTCAAGTTACTTCCTCTTGTCCTTTGTCCTCCTCTGCCTTTACCTCTTTAGAAAAGTTTTAAGTTGTTGGACAACTGGGTGCAGCCTAGACTGTGAAGTCCAGTTCCAGCCAATGGAATGAGGACATAGCAGTAGGGCGGATGTGTTAGATATAAATGGCCCTGCCTCCTTTGTTCAGGGTGTTCTTGTGTCAAGACGGCCAGTGGGAGTACCCTTTCTGCAGAAAGCAAAGTTGCTTTGCTGAGAAAGTTAAATTTATATTCGAGTGCTACTTCTTTTGTGGCACCAAAAATTCACATATAACATTTGTTCTTTCCAGAAGTGCCTCTCTGCCCCATCTCTTTCATGTACTAGGGTAGTGTAATGCACTCTCAAATCTCACCACTGCTTTGGGCATTCACTTCTTTCTGTGATGCTCCTGTGCATATAAAATTAAAAATTAACACATCTTTATGTCTCTTCTCCTGGTAATCGTCTTCCATCTTTCATTACAGCCCTCATCCCAACTACTGAGATATTTTTTTCTCCCCTACAATTCTCAGTGTTACTGAAGGATACTGTAAAAGGGAGACTGTTTTCTTCGAGAAACTACTCTTCCAAAGCTGTTTAAGCAGAGTAGATGGCAATATTATAAACATTATAAAATAATTGCAAACCTTCTTAGAAGGCCGAGAAGTTTTGTAAAAGCTTCAGGAAAGAATGGGCCGAAGGCAGCTAGTTCCTTTATCTCGAAGCTTGAAGCATAAAGCAGTTAACAAGAGAATGCAAAATAATTTATCTAAACGGCTTATTGTCCCAAAACCAACCTTTGCCCATCCATCCTTGACTGCCTTCTACTCAGTCAGCAGAAGTTTATCATCCACAGTGTTTGCTTTAAACCTCAGAACTTCGTCTTTAATCTTCACCCTCTAGTAGTGTTAACTCAAAGCCTTTGTCATTAAATATGTGCTAAATAAAAGACAAGAAACCCAGTGTGTTGAGGCCAGCAACTGTTAACTCCTTCAAGTGATTAGCCACAGACACCCCTAGCCCACTCTTTCACTGTATTCTGTGTCTGAGTGAGTTTATTCATCCATCATGGGGGTTGCCTGTCAGACCCTGACACAAAGCTATACTGTAGCTTATGAAATTGAGAATTCTTTTGAATACCAAAAGGTTTACTTAAAATAGCCAGTGATGCTAGTCTTATATTTTCAGAAATTTAAAAGTCTTAAGGCTCCAAATTATAAAAGACAAAAATTATTAAAATTGACAACAGTATTAATAAAAATCTAGTAAATACTGTACTTCCTCCAAACTTCAGTAAATGTGTGATAGACTAAGATTTATGGAATGCTGATTGATTCTGTTAAAATAGCTGCTAAATTTTTCTTTTTACAGTCTTAGTACATGTAACATCATAAGAAATATATATTTGAGGCCGGGCGCTATGGCTCAAGCCTATAATTCCAGCACTTTGGGAGGTCAAGGCAGGAGGATCACAAGGTCAAGAGATCAAGACCATCCTGGCCAACATGGTGAAACCCCGTCTCTACTAAAAATACAAAAATTAGCTGGGTGTGGTGTCATGCACCTGTAGTCCCAGCTACTGGGGAGGCTGAGGCAGGAGAATAGCTTGAAGCCCAGAGGCAGAGTTTACAGTGAGCTGAGATCCCGCCACTGTACTCCAGCCTGGCAACAGAGTGAGACTCTGTCTTGAAAAAAAAAAAAAAGGAATATGTATTTGGTTTCTGCCCTGCCCTGGCTCCTGACATAATTACTAAAACCCTTAAAATTTTGAGTGACAGGTATAAGATGAGCATTTGACTTAGTCCCAGTTCCTGACATAAGAGCTACTGAGACCCATGGAATCCCCAGGAGTGGTAAGAGTGTCTTCTGTATGCTAATGAGATTACTGGTGAGACATGAGGTGCCCCCAGACAGCTTCAGAATGGGGGCTGGTAAGACCAAGGCACTTCTGACAAAGGCATGGTTAGAATTGGAACTTTCATCCCTACCATCTCCACCCCTATATTCAGGGAAGAGAAAGAGGCAGCTTGAGCAAATCACCAATGGGCTGATGATTGAATCATGCCTATGTAATGAGACCTCCATAAAACCCCTGAACAACAGGGTTCAGAGAGCTTTCAGGCTGGTGAATGCTTCTACATACTGGAAGGGTGGTATACCCCAAAACTCCACAGGGACAGAAGCTCCTGTACTCAGGCCCTTCCAGACTTTGCCCTGTGTACCTCTTCATCTGGCTATTCATCTGTATCCTTTATAGTATTCTTTATAATAAACTGGTGCTTCTGTGAGTTCTATAAGCCATTATAGCACATCATGGAATCTGAGGAGGGGGTTGTAGGAATCTCTGATTTGTAGCCAACTCAGTCAGAAGTACAGGAGGAGGATCAGGGATTGTGACCAATGCCTGAAGTGGGAGCAAGTTGGTGGGACTGAGACCTTAATCCATGGGATCTGTGCTAACTCTGGATAGTAGTTAGTGTCAGAACTGAATTAAATTTTAGGACACAACATCCATTGGTGTCCACAGAGTACTGGAGAATTGTGTGGCATGGAAAACCCACATTTGGTATCAGAAGTTTTGTGAGAGCCGGGCACGGTGGCTCAAGCCTGTAATCCCAGCACTTTGGGAGGCTGAGGCGGGTGGATCACGAGGTCAAGAGATCGAGACCATCCTGGTCAACATGGTGAAACCCCGTCTCTACTAAAACTACAAAAAATTAGCTGGGCATGGTGGCACGTGTCTGTAGTCCCAGCTACTCAGGAGGCTGAGGCAGGAGAATTGCCTGAACCCAGGAGGCGGAGGTTGCGGTGAGCCGAGATCGCGCCATTGCACTCCAGCCTGGGTAAAAAAAAAAAAAAACTGCCTCCAAAAAAAAAAAAAAAAAAAAAAAAAAAAAAAAAAGTTTTGTGAGAAGAGAAACAGTTTTTCTTTAATACATTATCTTTGATCTTTCTAAATTGATTTAGTTGTTAGAGCTTGGAAGACTGATGGTCTAAAAGCAATCTAGAAATAAAAGATTTACCCCCCAACTTAACTATACGAGAATATACCTTTCAAATACTGTTCTTAACAGAAAGTGGATATACAGTGTTAGAATTCTATTTGCGCTCTTTATATGAGAAAGTCCTTTTTTCCCCAAACACAACACACATTTGTTAATTCTTTCCCTAGGATGCTTAGCTGGGTGTGCATTTACTATCTCTAGATGGGTAGGACTTTTCATTTAATAGAGAAAACTGATTTACGTAACTTAGAGATGTGGATCTTAGATTTTATTTTAAATTATCTTTAATTAGCTTGACATATTAAGGCTATCCCGCTTCACGGCAAAAAAAAAAAAAAAAAAAAAAAATCAGAGAATTCTATAGATTGGGAATAGAGATGTACATACCCTTTATTGATGTTGAACTGTTACTTATAGTTGCTTCATTCACCAGAATCATTGCTTGGCTATATTCTGTTAAAGAAAGAAAAACAGTATCACCATTACCTTTATTCATGGTGCTAGCTACTGTGCTAAACAATTTACATATTTTATCTCATTTAATCTTCACTACTCCTCTAAGAGGTTAATAGGAATATCTGCATTAGAGACAAAAGAAACTGAGGCTTAGAGGTTAAGCTATTTATTCCAGTACTTTCAGCTAGGAAGTAGTACAACTGGATTTGAATCTAGATTTATCTGACTTATGAAGGATTGAGAAGGAACATTAAAATGAAAAACAGTGCCAATTTTTTTGATAAACACATAACAGATTAATGTCATAAGAACATCCAGAAATTAAAAATAATCTGGAGAAAAATTTGCTTCAAAACCATATGTCCTGATGGAGTGAAGGAGGATTCCATCTTAAATTCTTACGTTCTACAACCAACCTGGATTGATGACAAACAAATAGAAAAAATAAAAACTTGAAAGATCTGAACTAATTGCCTATGTAGAACACAAATTTTGCTTTCAGAAGACTGGTAGAGTAAGTTCTGTTTAAAGCAGGTAAAATAAAGTTATATGTATATTTACACATACATATGAAATTGTTGTCTCTGAATGTGGATTCTGAATTCAGTTGTCTCTGAATGTGGAGTGATAACTTTTCTTGTTATTTTTTTCTATAAGTGCCAATGTTATAGGAGCAGATATTACTTTTGTAATATTCCTCTAAAAAAAAAAAAAGATAAACGGGGAAAAAAAGTAGCTTGAGGTAAAAGAAATAAATCAGCAGGTATTATTCACAAGTAATTATATCCATTTACTTTGACAAATAGCAACATTGGAAATAGAATGATACTGTACTGCCAGAGAGAAATATCTAGTATTAAACATATTCACTTACTTTTACAAATAGCAACATTGGAAATAGAATGATACTGTACTGCCAGAGAGAAATATCTAGTATTAAACATATTCAAAGTTTTTATTGCTTCATACCTTTATTGGTGGCAGACCCATTTTTGATCTTTTGTTTCAGTGACTGCAGCACATTCTGTACTTGTTCAAATATGAAGTCCACTTTTCCATCATCTTCTAGCTCCATCCAGAAAGTTTTTGCATCACCTAAAATAAAAATAAGTGACTAGCCTAAGAGTTTAATAGAAAAATACTGTAATTTACCTAAGGGACATGTTATAGAACAATCTACTTGTTTTCTAAATAAGATCAAGACTCAACTGGTCTATCATTTTCCTTGAGGAAAAAGATTTTAGTAATGTTTCCTTACAAAGAGCTAGAAACAATATGATCTAAGTATCTCACCCATTTCTGTTAATTGTTAAATATATATTGAAAATTTGAGTGACACTATTTCTTGACTAGAAAACAGAAGGAAGACTTCACTCGAGTGGTTGTGGGGTATATGTATAGACTATACAAGCACTTTTACAAGTCTTAGGGATATAACCTCCACTGAGTTGATTTCAGAATGAGACATCTCAATGGCTGCTGAAATAACTAAAAGTCCAACAATATTGTTGTTTTAGTCTTCTATGTGTTTAACTAAATGAAGCAAATTAATGTTTAAAGTTTTACAGATAAAGTTATATAGATTAGTCAACCTTTCTGATGCCCAGTAAACTAATACTTTAAAATTCTCCTAAAGAAACAATCCTTTCAAAATTTAAAATAGGAGAAAAACAATTATAATAAATTGGCAAAAGCTAAATTTCAAATGTCATGTTTAAAAGTAACAAAAAATACCTAAAATGCTAAGCATAATTCACTTATACAATGTTACAATGTTTAAAATTATTTAAAATTAACTAATAGGGCCTTAAGCAAAGGAAAAACATAGTAATAATTGCATTTTAGGAAGATCACTGGAGTAGGCATAGGTAGGATTAATGAGCAGAGAGCCCAGATGGTTTACAAAAAATACATTTTCCTTAACACAAATTAAACCCAGAACCTCCAGGTTTTGCAAAGGGAGAATCTGCATAATGGGCTTAGGTATCAAAGTCTCAGTTTCTGCTGGGAAAGTCACCTTTCCCAAGGGGGACTTCAGGCTAATTAGTGCTGCTGCCAACATAGTGGCCTCCAGAGAGGTGTTGTTTTCCTACTAATACTCTGACCTGATGTAAGACTAAGCTTACTTTCAATTCCCCATAGCACAGCTCAAACAAGATTTCAAGATTTTAAACAAGAGCAACGTGAGAGGACATAGCGAGACTTCATCACTACAAAAGTCAGCCAGGAGAGGTGGTACTTGCTTGTAGTCCCAGCTACTCAGGAGACTGAGGTGAAAGGATTGCTTGAGCCCAGGAGTTCGAGGCAGCAGTGGGCAAAAGGAATTAATCTTTCATTGTAGAATTTTAGAAAACAATCAGCTTAATGAGCAAAATATTTTGTGAAGCAGGGCTTTCTCAGGGTGCCTAAAATCATTAAGTGTTTCACTGATAATCAACAAAAACCACTTCTAGGCAAAATTATTTTTCAAAGCACTTTATAGATTGTTACATTTCCCTTCACAGATAGGAATCAATACTCCTTACTAGGGATTTATCTTTATTAGACGTGGACATTGAGATGTATTTTGAAGTATTTTCAAGTATTTAAAAATAGCTTTTGGTAGCATTAAAGTATTCTGGAATCACATATAATTCTGTCCTAGAGTGAGAAAAAAAGCAGTGATGCTGAAAGACAGCAAACAGGACTCAATGAATTTTTTTTTAAATCATTTAAAATTGTCTTAAAGGCTAGGTGTAGTGGCTTATGCCTGTAATCCCAGGGCTTTGGGAGGCTGAGGCAGGCAGATCATTTGAGGCCAGGAGTTTGAGACCTGCCTGGCCAACACGGAGAAACCCCATCTCTACCAAAAATACAAAAAAGTTAGCTAGGCATGGTGGCACATGCCTGTGGTCCCAGCTATTTGGGAGGCTGTGGCATGAGAACTGCTTGAACCTAGGAGGCAGGGGTTACAGTGAGCCGAGATTGTGCCACTGTACTTCAGCCTAGGCAACAGACCAAGACTCTTTCTCAAAAAAAAAAAAAAAAGTCTTAGAAATGCTAATACATGCTACTAAATTATTCTGGTAGGAAATACTTAAAATGAATTATTTAAAAAGTACACAGAGTAAATACTCGATCTTGGAACTGATTAATAAAAAGGACATTAGTAACATAATTTAAAAAAACAAAGCCAATCAAAGAAAATACTGAAACAATCTGCTTCTACAATAAATGAATGCAACTAAGCAATTCATATTTATTTGTTCTGAGTTTTAAATAAATGTATTATTCCTTGTAACATCCTTATTATCTCATATTGCTAGGTTTAATTATCATTAAAATGGCCACTTGTTCCTAATGTTTTCTTTCTTGATCATTTTTCTTTGTCTTCTTGCTATGGAAGCCTTTAACCACAGTAATATTTAGAAAAGAGGTAACCAAACTTTCTGACAAATGAAACTAATAGATCCAGTAAACAAGCTTCTGTGCACAAAGAGACTAAAGGAGTAACACAAGAAACATTTGGGTGACTTTGGTTTCGACTGCAGACATAGTTACTACAATATAAACAATTTAATTTCTTGCTCCTGATCTCCACTTCTTTGTGCATTGTATGCATGCTCAGCACTATAACCTAAAACTGTAAATATTTCAGTATATTTTACTAGAAGATATTTACAAGGAATACTGGAGCAGGTACTTGAATTGAAGATCAATTCAGGATACTAATATTGCTGCTATTTGCCTCCAGAAATGAAGAATATCATCTGATAACTTCATCATCTGTTCAAACTTTTTTATTTAGCCAGTTATGACTATTCACTGCAAGACCATGAAGCAAGACGTATAGCAGTCTTGTAATGAAGGAAGCCAATTAAATGGTATAGTTATACTATGTCTACCAATCTCACTTTAGACAGTCTTTGTAAACAGATAATGCTCATGAATACTGATCTAAATTCATTTACTAGATGAGTATTTATAAAATACTTACCAAATACATTAATAATGAGCTCAGAACACAGAAACATATATACTAAGTAGCTTTAGGGTATTGGTCTAGAGGAACTCTAAGGTATCTTTGAGCCTGTGATTAGCAAAATGTGATCTGTGGACCCATAGGACTCACCAAATCATTTCAGAGAATACATAAGGACAAACTATTTAAAAAATGAAGGACTATTTGAAAATTTTAAAAAATTAGGACAAACTACTTAAAAAATTAGGACATTTGCTGTTTCTATTGTAGTGACATCAACTGACAGTACAAAGGCATTGGTGAGTAAAACTGCTAGTGTCTTAACGTGAATCAAACCATCAGTAAGTCATTGTGATCTTCACCACCAATTTCATCTGAGAATATCTTTAATGAAACAAATGATTACAATCATTTGTACAGCCATTATAGTATAATGGCTGTCTCAAGGAAAAATACTAGTGGGATTGTTCAACTTACAAGCTAAACTACCTATTTTTTTTTTTCTTTTTTAAATGAAAACCATTTTTACTTAAAAGAACCACTGATAAAACTGCAGTATTCCAGACATGGGATTCTGGCATATGAGCAAAGTAAGCCTATCACCTGAAGGACAAAACTGACCATATTTGTTGCTAATGACAAAATTCAAGCTACAGAATAAAAATGAGAACTTTGAAAACCTGGTATCTGTCATGGCAAACCTGAAAGTTTCTAAAGAGTTAACCACTTTTAAAATGAGATCAGTAGCAATATTAACAAATGTGATTTTAAAATTGTATGATTAAATGTGTCAACATTTGGAAGATGTGCATAATTTACTTAACCAATATTTACAAGTGGTCAATACATGATGTAAAATCATACATGGTAAAAGATCTACTCAAAGTACAAGATAGACCAATGGATTTTAATGTAACAGTGTTAAAAAACTCGATATGTCAGATTCCACGCTGCAACTAACCTTTAACGAATGACTACTTGTTGAGTTTTGGAGTCAACAAAGAAAAAAATCCATAATTAGATGAAAAGCTATTAAAATACTCTTCCTTCTTCAGCTGCTTGTCTGTGTGAAGCTTGTCTTTTATTCATTTCAACCAAAGCAACGTATCACAGCAGACTGAATGTAGAAGCAGATATGAGAATCTAATAAGCCATTATTAAAGGTATTTCTAATAATGTAAGACAGTGTTATCCTTCTCACTAATATTTTTGCTTTAGAATATAGTTTTTATTTATATTTTCAACATGTTATATTTATTTTCTGAAAAATGAGCCAGCCGGGTGCAGAGGCTCATGTCTGTAATCCCAGCAATTTGGGAGGCCGAGGAGGGCGGATCACATGAGGTCAGGAGTTTGAGACGAGCCTGACCAACATGGAGAAACCCCGTCGCTAAAAAAGAAAAAGAGTCAATTAATATTTTTTTTTTGAGGCTTCTTAGTTTCAATTTCTAATACAGTAAGTATCAACAGATATTACCCACATAAACAAAAACTCTTTGGGTTTTTAGATACTCTAAAGAGTATAAAGTCATCCTGAGACCAAAAAAAATTTGAGAACCACTGGCTTAGATCAGAGTCTGGTGAAATCAATACTATGATCTGTATAACAATCTATACATTACAATTATGTTAAAAGCACTGAAACTATTGTGTATGATACTGTAATTATAGATGCATGATATTATGCAGTTATAAACAGAATTTTAAAGAGCAAAGAATGAACTTTAATGTATATAAATTTAACAAATTATTTAGGATGTCAGGGATCTCAGTAAGGAGTACAGACTGTGAAGAAAATCTAACTGTATTACAAAGTATAAACAACTTCACTAAGGGCTGGATGGAAAAGGTATTAACATAAGAAACTTTGGAAATGAGTGGGGTCTGCACAGATAAAGGCAAAAGTAACAGCACATACTTACTTACTTACTGTACTCCAGTTTATAAAGTATTTTCCCATCTGGGAATGGGTTAACAATTTTTTTTTTTTTTTTGAGACAGTCTTGCTCTGTCACCCAGGCAAGACCTGGTGGCATGACCTCAGCTCACTGCAACCTCTGCCTCCTGGGTTCAAGCAATTCTCATACCTCAGCCTCCAGAAGAGCTGGGATTCTATTACAGGCATGCGCCACCTCACCCAGCTAATTTTTGTATTATTGTTATTTTTTTTTTTTATAGTAGAGACAGGGGTTTACTATGTTGATCAGGCTGGTCTTGAACTCCTGGCCTTGGCCTTTCAAAGTGCTGAGATTATAGGCATAAGCCACAGTGCCTGGCTAAGGGTGACAATTCTGATACTGCTACATATATATATATACTGAAATTGAACGATTAAGTAAATGGATGATGGGTGACGGGAACTAAGCTTTTTTACTACTGGAGTAGGAATATACAGATAAGGAGAGGAGACTAGAATGATCCATGTGGTAATAGATTAGAGTTGGAAACATCAGCATAATTTCATGTTTAGCTTAATGCAAATACAGTTACATATAAAAATATTTATAGACATGTGTGTATATATATATATATGTTAGTATACATATATACGTCCTTGCTCTGCCAGCGGAAAGGCCTTATAAACAAGGACACTCCAGTAACAACAGATACACCTACCATCCTGGTTTCTAATACCATTTTCCAATAAAAGTATTCATAGGTTATTTAAGAAATGACTAAGATGGACAAGAAATATAGATGAACCTAGAGCAATCTTTGAGTGCCAAAAAAAATTGAGGAAGTGCTATAATACAAAGACAAATAAAAAATACCTACACTGATAGGAGTATATCAAAGGGACACAAGAGCCAACTGAGCCAGGTGTGGTGGCTCACTCCTGTAATCCCAGCATTTTGGGAGGCCGAGGTGGGTGAATCACTTGAGGTTAGGAGTGTGAGACCAGTCTGGCCAATATGGTAAAACCCTGTCTCTACTAAAAGTACAAAAATTAGCTAGGCGTGGTGGCACATGTCTGTAATCCCAGCTACTCAGGAGGCTGAGGCAAGAGAATTGCTTGCACCCAGGAGACAGAGGTTGCAGTGAGCCATGATTGTGCCACTGCACTCCAGCCTGGATGACAGAGCGAGATCCCATCTAAAAGAAAAAAAAAAGCCAACTGAAAGAGCTCCCAATAGCCAAACCCAGGACAATTTGAAAAACAAAATAAATAAAGTAGTGCTGGCTTGTAACTCAAAGTATAAATAGCCATGAGTCCATGCTGATATAAATGACTAACTGAATAAGTAAATGGGAAAGAAGAGAAAGAGATAAATCTCCCCTGCAGAAATATTCCAAATATAATTCATGTAGATATTCCATACTTAAGGATGGGGAGCATAAATCCCCATTCCTTAAGTGTGAGCTGCCTATAGTGATTTATTTCCAAAGAGTACAACAGGGAATGGGAGAAAAAGAGTAACTTTACAGTGGAGAAATTTGATAACACCACCTACATTAGCCGGCTCAAGCTCCATTGATCAAGCTCAATATCAACTTTGAGAAATCATGCTGATAGCATGTACCCTTGATATGATGTAATGAAAATGACATTTTATGTCTGAGATTACTCTCTCCCAAACCCATAACTCCAGTCAAATTATGGGAAAACATCAGATAATAATTCCAACAGAGGCGTATCTTACAAAATACTTGAATACAAAATCCCCCAAAAATCAAAAACAAGAAAAGTCTGAGAAACTACCACAGCTAAGAGGAGCCTAAGCAGACATGACAAGTAAATGTAACGTGGTGTCCTGGATGGGATCTTGGAATGGAAAAAGACATCAGATAAAAACTAACGTGAATACACTATGGACTTCAGTTAATAATAATGTGCTAATATTAGTCCATTAATTGTAACAAATGTAGCACCCAAATGTAAAATGCTAATCATAGATAAATCTGGGTACTAGGTTTACTGGAACTCTGCACTATCCTCTCAATTTTCTGTAACTCTAAAAGTTTTTCAAAAAATAAAGTCAATATTTTAAAAAGTACACTAAAGTACTGACGAGTATTACTGATTCACAATCAATGATAAAGACAGTCAAAATTAGTGGCTATGAGAATAAAGCTTTAAGTCCAATTCAGAAAAGTCCCTTGTAATGCAAAACCTTGAAAATTCCTCATCAGCTTACATTGTCTACAAACTTTTAAACATAAAGTGTAACAATGTGTTCTTCAACCTACCATTTTTTTCTCCCATCATTTGATGTTTATAAATATAAAATGCTTCAAAATTAGGTTTATCAAATCACTTTGATTGAAGAGTATCACTGGAATCCAACTGTGGTCTCTATGAAATCTGCAGTCCTCAGACAAAAGATATGATTATACCATTCTAAATCTGATTCAAATAGAAATTGTGGCTGAAGAAACTTTCAAAAATGAGTGATAGTCCAACCAAAAGACAAGTCCATGCACCTTCATCACGTGAATATTTGTAGTGGTATCAGATCGTTAACATTATCTTTTTAAAAATAAAACCAACTCCATCTTTTGGTCCACAAATGTATGAAACATTCTGTAAAGAAAACAAGAACAGTGTATATTTGTAAAGGACTATATATACGTGTGTGTGTGTAAAGAAGATATAGTTAGAACAGTTTGCTCTTCTAAAACAGCATTATCCATTACAAAAAACATGTTACCTGGAAAAAATATGTAAAGTATCAAACTTAGGAATATTAGAGGAGGCTCACCCATAATCCTACCACCCATATTTAATATATTTGTTAATATTTACATTACTGACAATTCGACTATCTCCATTTTATAAGTCCTTTATAAAAACTTTAATAGGGGATAATAATATTAACTACCTCACAGGCTGTTCTGAAGACAAGACTTAATTACACAGAATAGTGCATGACACAAGAAAGAATCAAGAAATACTACCAATTATTGTTATTCTTTCAGAATATAGTTTTAAAACAGAATCTGAATTTTAGTGTATATAATTTTTAAATAATTTTTCATTAAAAACATTTCCTGCATTTTCCTCCATCATTAGTATTTTTATATAATACAACTGGCTGTACAACATACTTTGGTTAATAACTCATACATTATAGTGTATTAAATATTTTAATAATTAAATTTTAATAAAGTATTAATGAATAATATAAACCTCTATATTGGATATTTAGATTGTTTTCCTTTATAATTATTAATTTTAGTATCATGCTAGAATAAATAGACTTTATACATATCTCTGGCAATTTCCCTAGGATAACATAACCAGAGATAGAATTAATAGGTCAAAAACAGATCAACAATTTTAATTTTCAAGATGTTAGCCAAGCTATGGTAAATTCTTCTGCTACTTCCACAACAAACCATGGAAATGTCAGGAGATTTTAAAAAAATATATAGCCATCTGAAAACAAAAAGGGAACTCTCTAAGGGCCAAGTCTGTGAGGCCTTTCTGGGGAAGGGAAACAGATGGGAAGCTATGGAGATGATGCCAACCACAATCACAGCAGCAAAAGAATGGGTAGGAATCTTCTCAAAGGAGATGAATGCACAACTAAGAGTCCTCAAACATCTTAAGAAGAGTACACTATGAAAGAGATTGAGCTAAAGAAGGAAATCTCATCCACGAAATAATATACAATTTTGGGGAAAAGAAAAGCCAATTAGATATCTTGGATATAAAAACAGTTGTTGAAATAAACTCAATAGATGAATGAATGACAAAACAGACTCACATGAAGAGCCAGTTAGTAAGCTGGAAGACTGAATTGAGTAATTCACCAAGAACACAGAGCAAGGAAACAAGAGGAGGCACACAACTGAAAATGGAGAGGAGGTAATAATGACCAAGAATTTCTCAGAACTGGAAAACACATAAGCATACTGAATCCACTGAGTGTCAACCAGGATAAAATTCTTAATATCCAACACCAGACAAACCATCATCAGACTAATTTCAGAACATCAAAAACACAAAGTCTTAGATGTTTCCAGAAAAAATATAGATTATCTAAAAGGAAGGTATATCAGACTAGTAATGAGATTTCTCATCAGAAATGTCAGACGCAAAATGTTAAAGGAAAGTCAGTAATGAACCCAGAACTCTATATCCAGCCAAGCTATCTTTCCATACTAATGATGAAAAAGACATTTACAGACATTCAAAGAGTCACTCAGAGATTCTGTGAAAGAAATAAGCAACTGATGATGAAAAATGAACCTATAAGAAAGCACTGAGGTATAAGAGGCAATGGTGAGCAAGTAAATGAGTAAAACACATTAATGTTCAATATAGATTAAACTGAATTTTAATACCAAATGAAACACAAATTCTTGAAGATATCCTGAGAGATTATGCTCTTTTCTGGAGGAGAGACTGAAGGGATTGTTTTAAGATCAGAGAAAGCAAAGTAGAAGCATGCTAAATTATTCTTTACAGGGGCCATATCAATACTAACTAAATGTATACTTTGTTAGGAAAATATAAATTTAAGTACTGTGTTGAAATGCAAAGTTAATCTACTAAAAGAAAACTGAACAAAAAGAAAACTTGGTGCTAACCTCAATAAAAATAAAAGTGATCCCAGCACTTTGGGAGGCCAAGGTGGGCGGATCACCTGAGGTCAGGAGTTTGAGATCAGCTTGGCCAACATGGCAAAATCCCGTGTCTACTAAAAATACAAAAATTAGCTGGCTGTGGTGGTGCACACCTGTAATCTGGGCTACTTGGGAGGCTGAATCAGAAGAATGGCTTGAACCCAGGAGGCAGAGGTTGCAGTGAGCCAAGATCATGCCACTGTACTCCAGCCTGGGCAACAAAGCAAGACTCTGTCTCAAAAAACAAGTGGAAAAATAAGATATAAAAGATACAAAGAGAAGCATGTTAAATAATGACAAGAATAAGGCCAAAATATGTCAATTATCACAATAAAGGTGAATGTGTTAACCTTACCTATTAAAGGACAGATTCTCAGATTGGATGGCAAGCAAAACCTAGATATGATATTTTAAAATAAGAGCCCCACTTAAATTACACAAAATGTTATGCAAGGTTGAAAATGAAGCCTCTGGAAAAAGACACATCTGCAACTATAAGAACATAAATTCCTATCAAATAAGAGTTTAATATGAAAATCATTAAAAGACACAAATATTTTACGCTGACAAAACAATTCACCCTAAGATTTAATATTCATGAATCTTTATGTACAAATAACATCACTCTGAAATATATACAGCAAAATTTAAATAAAAGGAAAATGCACAGATCCACAATTTGGTAGGAAAGTAACAAATCTAAGAAACTGACAGATAAAGTGGGTAAACAATCAGGGTATAAAGGATTTAAATGACATATAAATTAACAAGCTTAATCCAAAGAATGTACAGAACCTTGCATACAACAGAAAATACTTTTTGTGAGAGGAAAAGCATGAAATTTACAAAATCGGCCGGGCGCGGTGGCTCACGCCTGTAATCCCAGCACTTTGGGAGGCCGAGGCGGGTGGATCACGAGGTCAAGAGATCGAGACCATCCTGGTCAACATGGTGAAACCCTGTCTCTACTAAAAATACAAAAAATCAGCTGGGCCTGGTGGCGCGTGCCTGTAATCCCAGCTACTCAGGAGACTGAGGCAGGAGAATTGCCAGAACCCAGGAAGCGGAGGTTGCGGTGAGCCGAGATAGCGCCATTGCACTCCAGCCTGGGTAACAAAAGCGAAACTCCGTCTCAAAAAAAAAAAAAAGAAATTTACAAAATCTATATATAAGAACTAAAGAAATTATCAACAAATTCCAAAAGAATGTTTATACAGAGCACAGCCACTGAACGTAGTAAATTAACACCCCACCCCACACTACCTGTGGAAACTAAAAAATCAAATTTCCCAAATAATATATATCGTTTACAGAAGAAATCAAAGGAGAAATTTAAGAACACTTAGAAATGGTGATCGGTTGAAATAACACATTTCAAAGCCTGAAGGATTCTGCCAAAGCAGCATGCCAAGAGATATTTAAGCCTTAAATAAATTTTATTAGCAAAATGAAAATATTGACTTAAACATTCAATTAAAGAAGCTAGGAAAAGAACAATAAAATAATAATGAATAATCTCTCTCTAGCTACTGAAGAGATTTTTAAACATTTTAAAATTCAGACAGTTTTATGCCAATGAACCTGAAAGCAAAGACAAGCTGAATTTTTTTTTTTTTTTTTTAAAGACGGGTATCACTATGTTGCCCAGGCTGGAGTGCAGTGACTATTCACAGGTGTGATCCCACTACTGATTAGCACGGGAGTTTTGACCTGCTCGTTTCCGACCTGGGCTGGTTCACCCCTCCTTAGGCAACCTGGTGGTCCCCCGCTCCCAGGAGATCACCATATTGATGCCGAACTTAGTACGGAAATCCGACAGGCATCCAGCACTACAGACCAGAACTCCTGGGCTCAAGTGATCCTCCCACCTTAGTCTCCCGAGTAGCTGGGACTACAGGCATGTGCCACCGTGCCTGGCGAACTAAACAATTTTCTAGGAAGATATAAATTACCAAATAGGCTCAATAAGTAAAAATCCGAAAGTAAGTATAAAAATAAAATACTGAAGATATTACTAGAGACGTGTGCCACACATCCCCACCCCTCACTGTTAGTGCACTAGGTCCATAAAGTTGTACAGATGAATTGTACAAAACCTTCAAAGAACGGATAATTCTTATCATATACTAACTGCCCTGAAGCAGGAAAAATATGGGAAGCTACTCAACTTTTTTTTATGTAATAAGCATAACCTTGACATGCAAGAAAAAAATTCAAGGCCAAAATATGATACTGGGTCTTAGACAGAAAAATACTAAATAAAGGTATCCAGCAGTAGCCAGAATACCCAAAAAGTTTAACACGAAAATTTATCAATGTGAATTCCTATATTAACAGACAAATGGAGGAACACTATTACTTCGTGCAGAAAAACAAAACAATTCAATATAAAATTAACTATTTCATGGAGGGTAGGGGGTCCCTTAGCAAATTAGGAATAAAAGAACTTTTGGCCAGGAGCAGTGGCTCATGCCTGTAATCCCAGCATTTTGGGAGGCCAAGGAAGGCAGATTACCTGAGGTCAGGAGTTAAGAGACCAACCTGACCAACATGGAGAAACCCTGTCTCTGCTAAAAATACAAAATTAGCCTGGCATGGTGGTGGACGCCTGTAATCCCAGCTACAAGGGAGGCTGAGGCAGGAGAATTGCTTGAATCCCAGAGGCTGAGGTTGCAGTTAGCCAGAATGGTGCCACTGCACTCCAGCCTGGGCAACAAGAGTGAAACTCTGTCTCAAAAAAAAAAAAGAGAACTTTCTTAATCTGATAAAGGCTATCTACCAAAACATCCTACTCAATGGCAGCAAACGTCATACTCAATGATGAAACATTAGGAGAATTTTTATTAGGCACAGGATGAAGACACTTGCTATCACTGTTTTTATTCAATATTGTACTGGAAGTTTTAGAGAAATTCAATAAGATAAAAAGAGACCTAAAGATTGGCGGAGGAAAATCTATCTGTAGAACAAATAAGTTAACAAAAAGTCAAAGCCAAGCAAGAAGCTGAGAGAAAATGTTTTTAACATATTTTAACAATAGTAACAAAAAGGAGGTATAATTAACCACAGACACTAAAGAGATTTCCAAAAATATAGTATTGAGGACACATAAAGAACTTAAACGGGTTTTAAGAAATTACAGAAATGCATATAAATTATAGGTTAATAAACATATAATAAAGATGTAATAGACACTTCAATCTTAGATCACAGAATTAAAATTAAAAATATAATTTGCAGCCATCACATGGGCAAAAATGAAGAAGACATCTCATGTTAGTCTAAACTGTAGGAAAACTCAACTCTCATGTACTACCTGTGGAACATGTAAATTAGAAGAGGTATTTTGAAGGCAAATTTAGCATGACCTATTAAAACTAAAATTGTTCACAACCTAAAACCAAGCAATTCCACTTTTAGGTATATATGCTGGAGAAATAGCAGATGTGCGCAAAAAAACACCAAGATTTTCCTTGCAGCATTGTTGTATGGTGAAAAACTAGAAACCTAATGTCCTCAAGAGATTGGCAATAAAATGTGCTATACAGCACACATCAAACAAAATAGGATTTAACATAAAGACCAGTAAAAAGAGACAGAAAAGTATTTTAACGGATCAGTTCAGTCATACAATGGAACACTATGCAGCAGGTAGAAGAAATGATCCATAAATAACATAATGAGCTATAAACAGAGCAGGTCAAAACTCCCATGCTGATGGGTAGTGGGATCATTGTTAAGAAATAAAGCTATAGAATGATGTAGTATGATATTTTTCCACTAAAAATATTTGAGCAGATCAAAACTCCTGTGCTGATCAGTAGTGGGATCACTGTCAAGAAGTAAAGCTACAGAATGATGTAGTATGATACTTTTCCACTAAAAAATTAGAAATGTATATATATTCACCTATATAGCATATGTAACAGTATTAAAAGGTGTAAGTATTAAAAAGCACCTGAAAGCTCTGTATCAAAGTCTCCAGCAGGAGTAGGGAGGAAGAGGAGTGAGGGAACATTCCTCATACAAGAACAGAGAATTTTTTTATCATATAGGAACTTTCAAGCAGGAAGAATACAGGAGGCTACTCAACTGTTTTTATGAGGTAAGTATAATCTTGACACCTAAGGAATAACTCAAGGCCAAAATCTGGATTGTGCTCTTTATCTACAAAGTATCAATTTTGTAAAAGAATGTAAAAGTGTACTTAATTTTAAAAAATTAAGCATATATAAATGTTCAAAAACGAACTGCCAATTTTAAAGCTTTTCATATCATACTGTCAAACTTTCTTCCAGAAAGGTTCTACCAATTTATACTTCCAACTAAGCACACTCAGCAAGTTTTACATTTTTAGACACGAGGTCTATGTTGCCCAGGCTGGTCTTAAACTCTGGGATCAAGCGATCCACCCCCCTCCACCTCCTTAAGTGCTGCGATTACAGGTGTGAGCCACCTCGCTGACCACAGCTTTGTGTTTGTTTGCTTTTGAGATAAGTCTCGCTCTGTCACCTACACTAGAGTGCAGTGGTGTAATCTCCGCTCACTGCAGCCTCCGCCTCTGGGCCTCCGGGCTTCAAGCGATTCTCCTACCTCAGTCTCCCGAGTAGCTGGGATTACAGGTGCATGCCACCATGCCCGGCTAATTTTTGTATTTTTAGTGGAGACAGGTTTCATGTTGGTCAGGCTGGTCTCCAACTCCTAACCTCAGGTGATTCGCCCGCCTCTGCCTCCCAAAGTGCTGGGATTACAAGCGTGAGCGACCAGCCCAAAGCTTTGTTTTTAAAAAGCTCTCACCAGCGTTCACACCTGAAAATTTGAAAACTGAACTGGCAAAAGTAAAACATGTTCCCTGCAGAAAATCTACAAAATACAATAAAGCATAAAGGAGAAAATTTAAACACGACCTCATCATCCAGAGACAACTGGTGTTAATATTTCAGAGTAAATGGGCTTAAAAAACTTTTAACCCTTCTTTTTCATTTTGGCAGAAAAATAATTAAGGTAGTCTGCTTTGCTTCAGTGTATGGTTCCTTTTCGTTTCTAAAAATAGGCTTTAAAAACACACCATTTCCTCTCGGCTTCTGACGTTTTAATTATAATGACAGCAATAAACATTTATTAAGAACCACGGGTCAGTCACTCTTCTAAATACTTCACGTGTTCTTATTTAAGCCCCCTAACAGTCACGTGGGTTAAATTAGCAGCTCGTTTGCTGATGAGGAAGCTAAGGCACTCCATACCGTTAAGTAGACAAAATATGGAACCAGACAGCCTGGTTTCAGAGCCTATGCTTTGATTACCCCATCTGACCTCTTCAAAGTTACTCCTCTCTTTGGCCTCATGCGTTAATATTTACAGAGCTCACTGCAGATTTCCACATGCCGAAGAGCACAGTATTTTTCCTTACTTAATTACTTATTGGGCTGTGGCTGATAGCGAATCAGGAAGTGTTACTATCTAATCTGAACTCTGTGATCTTGGGTGAATGTTGCTCTTGCTGCATTTATGGGCTCGTGTAATCTTACCTGTGAAATGGGCTACTGGTTAAACCTTCAAGTTCTGCTTCTGGGTTTTATACTGCTGTCCATTTCCTGCCGTCCTTTTGACAGCCTCAGGTTCCCAGCAGCTTAGGAATCACCTCTCATTAAGGCTGCTCCCTAAGACAGACAGACAGACAGACAGGCTGAAATGGGGGTTGAGAACTCTGTGCCCGCGGCTCCTTCTACAGCCAGGACTGCACGTGGGTGCCCAGAGAAGGGAGGCTGCAAGGGCTGGGGTCCATTCCCTGCTCGGGCGGCCGAGGGCTCTGCGGCGCTTTCAGGTCCTCCGACCGCCCGGCTAGAGGAATTGTCGGGGGCCACCCATGGCGGTGCCGTGGTTTCACCCGGCTCCGCCGCGTTTTCTACTCCGCCCGCCTGACCTGAGGACTGAGCTCCGCCCGCTCGCTTGGCGAGGCTAGGTTCCTCCACGGGTGGGGCTCTCCTCCGACGCCGAGCCGCTCAGCCCTCCCGGCCCCGGTGCCCTCTGGCCGGGAAGTACTTTACCATTTACCAGCCTTTACCTCAACCACAACAGTCCCGCCCCGCCTCCGCCGGGAACAGGGGAGGGCGGAACGTCCGCCCAGGACAAGGGAGACCCACCTAAAGCGATCACTACAGGGGAGGAGTCGGACGCTGGCCGTCCCACCACCCAGCTAGTAACCCATTGATTGGTCGCATTCCCCACTGGGTCTTTCCTCAGAGACTCGGCGCACTTACCTCTGGCACAGCAGTGGCGTCTGAACGCGCCGCCTCCCGATTGGCTGCCAGCGCTCTTGGCTTGACTCGCGCTCTCTGGCTGGGCCAATTGGGTTACTCGCAGTCGAGAGGCCGGCATCCCTTGTGTGATAGCGCGACTGTTTCCTCCAGTAGGTTTGGTGCTGCCATCTTGTGTGTGGCTGGGACTGGGCTTCTTAGGGGTAGAAAACTCACGCGGCTTGCGGTAGTGGAGGGGTCCCGGGAGGACGCTGGGGTAAAGGAGAGGCCTAAGGGAGGAGACCCGGCGCCATCTCACTCGCGGAAAGGATGGGTTTCCTGGGCCTGAGTTTCATCCCTGGCTAGAGAGAGCGAGGGATGGTGGTGGTGGTGATGGTGGTAATAGTAGAGATCCCAGGCTATGGTTTGTTGGTCGTTGTGGGAGCTGGGCGGGGTCTTTGATGCCTTAACATTAATTGCTTGGTTCCAGGGTGCTCTTTCTGGAATCTTTGTCTCGCAGAGATTCTGACCATCAACCCCTTTTGACAAAAGAGTCTAGCTGATGAACTGCCTGATTGAGAAAGGAACAAAGCTGGTAATAGAAGGGGAGTGCCTCACTGCTATCCTCAGATTCAAAAGAGACTTCCTCTTTTGACATTTTCGAGGGAGCAGCTGTTAAACTGTTAGCTCTTCGCGGGGGGTTACTCTTTGACTAAGGCCATTCTTTGGTAAGAATAGGCGTCAAGTTCTGCGTTTGGGCAAGATTGTTCATTAGTGCGCAGCCAAGAATTCCTGCAGCTCTCTCTCTTTTTTTTTTTTTTTTTTTTTTTTTTTTTTTTTTAGCTAGAAAGTGGTGGTCTTGCAGAAAACGGGGGACGTGAAGGAAGAATTTTGTCAAATATTGATTTCCCTGGTGAGATATGTTGAAGATACTCTGGGTCTGCCATGACATGCTTCCTCGAGCTTCATCGAGCAGATGGAGGCTTTGTTAGGGAAACCACCTTAATTTCTGCGCTGTTTTTGAGGTGGGAGGAAGGAGATAGAATTAACCTCTTTTTCCTTCCTCCTTTTTTTTTTTTTTTTAATTGTGGACGGCATGCATTGTCTTTTATTTGAGGGGAAAATGTATTGGATCTGAAAACCACGCTGATGAAAGGCTAATATTTTGTGGCAGATTTAGCAGTTTGACATGCATGAAAAGAAAGTTGATATACTATTGCCTTGAGCTTGGTTTTCAGTTATTCAGTATTAACTGATGAACAACTGAATCAACAATACATAATATAGACATCTCGCATCAGGAATACCCAAACAAAACAAACAGTAACATAATTGATGGGTTGGTTTGTTTGTTTTTTGAGATGGAGTCTCACTCAAACCAGTGGCCCATGCTGGTTTGCAATGGCGCGATCTCAGCTGTCTGCAACCTCTGCCTCTAGGGTTCAGGCGATTCTCCTGCCTCAGCCTCTGGAGTAGCTGGGACTACAGACATCGGCCATACACTGCTAATTTTTATATTTTTGACAGAGATGGGATTTCACCATATTGGCCAGGCTGGTCTAGAACTCCTGACCTTGGGTGATCTGCTCCCCTTGGCTTCCCAAAGTGATTGGATTACTGGCGTGAGCCACCGCACAGGGCCTAATTGATGTATTTAAAATTAATTTTGGGCAGGGCTCCATGGCTTATGCCGGCAATCCCAGCACTTTAGGAGGCCAAGGAGGAAGGATTGCTTGAATCCAAGAGTTCAAGACCAGCCTGGGCAACAGTGAGACTCCTGTCTACAGAAAAACAAACCCCAAAAAAACAAAAATGTGGTGGCATGTGCCTATAGTCCCAGCTACTGGGGAGGTGGAAATGAGGATTTGAGACTGCGGGAAGCCAACCACTGCACTCAGCCTGGGCAATCGAGTGAGATCCCAACTCAAAATAGATAAATAAATATAAAATAAATGTTTAATTCCTTTTTTATTGAAGAACCTTATAAAACTTAAGTTGCAAGAATTCAGTTATCAATAAAGTAGTGTTGATTTGATAGCTAAAGTACATGTCAGTAAAAGTTACCAAGATCAAGTGAAAGATCCTGAATAAGAAACATCAGTAACAGTAGGAGGTCACTGATAGATAATGCTGATGTTTAGCATGTAGATACAGATGCTAAAACATTTGTATCTCATTCACCTAAATAGTCCCTGGCATACATTGGATAATATAATTGTTCAATGAGTAAGTAAAAGAATGCAGTAATTGGGCGGTATGAATATACCTTTTTTTTTTTTTTTTTTTTTTTTTTTAAGCCTAACCAAAAAATAATTGTTAAATCTGCTTTCTGGAAAACTTGACTTTCAATTGGGATTAAGTTTGTTATTGCATCCAATTTAAACATATAAATAATGTTAAGGATAGGTTTGTAATTGTTGGTCTTTACAAAAAGTTTTTAAAGGAAGAAAATTTATATAACTAAGGTGAGTCCTCAAGCAATAATGCTCTATTTGCCATTGTTTTCTTGAAGGCACATACAATCTTCTTTTTTTTCTGGAGACAGAGTCTTGCTTGTTGTCCAGGCTGGAGTGTGCAGTGGTGCCATCTTGGCTCACTGCAACCTCTGCCTCCCAAGTTCAAGTGATTCGTGTGCCTCAGCTTCCCAAGTAGCTGGGACCACAGGTGTATGCCACCACACCCAGCTAATTTTTGTATTTGTATTTTTAGTAGAGATGGGGTTTCACCATGTTGGTGAAAGGCTGATCTCGAACTCCTAACCTCAAGTGATCCGCCCACCTTGGCCTCCTAAAGTCAGTGTAGGCATCTTCTATGTGGTTAAGATTTAAAACTTCAAATCCTTACCTTTCTCTTTGGTCCAACTGGGTCGCTTCAGTCTCCAAAATGCCTTTCCTTTTCATCTTTCTACTCTCACTGCCACTGTCTTAATTTAGCTACTATTTTTCTTTTTTTTAAAAAAATTTTACGCTGGAGTGGTGGCTCACACTTACACCCTGCAGTTTGGAGGCCAAGGCCGAGGGATTGCTTGGGCCCAGGAGATAGACACCAGCTGAGGCACCATTGTTAAACCCTGTCTTTACCAAAAATATAAAAAGTTAGGCATGGAGACATGTGCCTGTAGTCCCAGCTACCTGGGAGGCTGAGGTGGGAGGATCACCTGAGCCCAGGAGGTTGAGGCTGCAGTGAGCCATGATTGTGCCACTGCACACAGAGCTAGACTCTCTCGAAACAAAAAACAAAAAAATTTTAAATAAAAAACATTTTATCATTTCTAAGAGCCAAGAAATTGAAAAAAAAAAAATCTTTGTGCTCCCTTAGCAGCACACATACTAAAATTGGAACTATATGGAGAAGATTAGCATGGCTCTTCTGCAAAGATTACATGCAAATTTGCAAAGCATTCTGTATTTTAAAAAACCAAACGTTTTATATGACATTGTATTATTGACAAAGCCCACACTCCTCAGTTTGGAATTTCTATTAGTTAACATACAGGTTTGGCTACTGTGATGGAGAAATTTAAAAATAATTATGACTTTAATACAGTTTTTTTCCAGTGGAAGAATATGATCTGATCAGGTGGTTTTGCTACACATAGTTGTCAGGGGCTCATGCTCCTAGCATATTGCCCTGCCATTCTTATAATGAAGCTCTATCTTGTGGACCAAGATGACTGCTTCACATCCCATGATAGCTAGTCTAATAATGCCCAGACCATCCCCACGTTGATGAATGGAAGGCTCACATTTTAAGATGACTATGGGCCAGGGAGGTTCCACCTTTCTTGGCTGAAGTTGATGCCAAAGTGATAAATCAACCTCAGTGCTTCCTGCCTCCCCATATCCTGGGGATAGGCCAGAATCAGATGCCATCAGGGACCCTGCAGACAATTCTGAGAATTATTTTAAGAAATCAGTTCAGTGACTTGGTAATCATTTGACACCTGTAGGAAGGGTGAACTGCTTTCTAGCCCTTCTGCAGCCACCCACTCCCCCTGCCTTTTGATGACACAGGTTCTGCATAAACGGGGAAGAGAGGGTGACATGCATTTCTTGTAAAAATGCCTTAATGAGAAAAGGGCCACATGCATTTCTTATAAAAACATGTCAACGAGAAAAACAACAGCAGCAGCAGAAACAGCAACAGCAAATATTTACTGAATCTACTACTATGATCCAAGCCCCCAAATCAAGAAAACATGAGTGCTGATGGAAAACAGGAAGGTATTTGTTCAAACTGCCTGGCCAGTGTTTTTGAAGAAAACAGATCTCCAGAGACCCCTTTTTTGTCCTAAGTAGCAAGCAAATGAGGAGCTCATAAAATGTGCAGTGTTTATTTGTGGTGTCTCCAAGCAGAGTAGTTGGCTCTTGTTACATATCTGGTAGAATAATCGATGATTTATGCTCCTGATAGCCTTATCATAGCTGTTACATAATGGTCATGTGTATTTGTGACTTTTATAACCATGTGTGTATAACCTTCCTATTTAAATAGATTACAGTGTTCCGCTGTTGTAACTCTGCTTGTTTAATCACAGCTAAGACTTCTGAAGTCAAATAACTTTTTCCATTATTGCAGTGAGGCGTCGGCAAAAAGTGGGGGCTTGCTGGTTACATTTGCTGAAAATAGATCATGCATTTATTTGGACTCTCAAAATTGGAGCTCTGAATTCACCTAGTCCAGTGTTTATGCACCAGAGCACCATTGGCATTGCCATTGATGAGGACTGGCCTGAGCATTGCCGGAGGTTCAGCAGCCTTGGCCCACATCCACCAAATGCCATTTCAATCACCCAGAAATTTCCACAACAATAGAAGGCCCCGCCACGTGTTGGGATGGTGGGCTGCCCTTGCCTGAGCACAGCTGATGGATCCAACCACCTGTCAGCAGTTGCATCTCTTCTTTCACACGCCCCTAAAGGGACAGGTCAACAGGGCTCTGCTCCAGCATCCCCAGTGATGAAGAAGTCACCACCTCCTAAAGCCACACTGGCCTGTCCTTGTTATTAACATGTTATTTTTATGGCATAAACTACTCCCCCGTCACTCCCTCGTTTCTGTCGCCAGACGTCATCTTTAACACAGGCCTCTTTGTGTCTTCTCTACCGCAGGAATGCTCTGGAGTACTTGAAAGTAGCCATTGTGTTCCCGCAGTCCTGTGACAGCCTCCCACCTCTCCTGGAAACTTACTGCGTCATTGTAGCTAGGTTTGCGTTTTACAGGGAAGCTCTTTTTACTTCACCTCATTTAATGTTCACACTGTGAAGCAGGGCTTAGCATTTCCACTGTAGGGATAATGCAATGGAGCCTCAGGTTAAACGACTCACCCAAGGCTACAATGCTAACTACTGGCAGAGCCAGAACATGAATCTGCTCCAAATTCAATGCCTTTCATGATTTTCCCAATATGCACTTCATTTTTTTTTTCTTTTCTTTTTGAGACAGGATGTCACTCCCATTGCCCAGGCTGGAGTGCAGTGGCTGATCCTCGCTCACGGCAGCCTTAACTTCCTGGGCTCAGGTGATCCTCTCACCTCAGCCTCCCGAGTAGCCAGGACTATAGGTGCGTGTCACCATGCCTGGTTAATTTTTGTATTTTTTGTAGAGATGGGGTTTTTGCCATGTTGCCCAGGCTGGTCTCGAACTCCTGAACTCAAGCAATGTGCCCACCTCGGCCTCCCAGAGTTCTGGGAGTACAGGCGTGAACCACCATGCCCAGCACAATATGCATTTCATGTTGTCCAGCCTCTCCCTCTGATGTCCTCTTTCTTTCCATTACAACTCCGCATGTCTCCCATGGTAGAAGGCATCGGTGGCCCTGGTGTTTCACCCTTCCCTTTCACACGTTTTGCCAGTTCCATTAGCAGGTGGAACTTGTTATCCCTCTTGACTTTGGGTTCAATAGAATGAGGTGGAAATGTCCTCGTGCAAGTTCCGACGTGAGGCTCCAAAAGCCTGTGTGTTTCCACTTTGTGTTTCTGCCCTCACCAGACACCTGGAGCAGAGCCATCCCACCCAGCCTAGCCGAGATTAGGTGACCCCCAGCCAAACCACAGACACAGGAAACATTGGTGTTATTTAAGTGACTGCGTTTCAGGGGGCTGGTTATGCTGCAGTTTCTAAGCGATACATTTCTCCAACGTTC